GTTAACCATGCAACCCAATCATAGGAGGTGGGGCTCTGCCACTTAGCTTGAAGCCACTATTACACAACTCTGGAATTCGCCAGGATTCTTTTCTCTTATTGACAGAACCTTGCGCAATCAACCGCCAAAATTCTCGGAATCTTTCCGCAAAACCCCCTTTTATACTCCGAATTATCAACCACATTCACACGACCGATCACTTTGCTGTATAAACAATAGAATTCTTCACAGAAGCTTCGCCAATCATGCGCCCGCCGATCTGCTTACTAGAGATAATCCACCTGAGTCCGGGCTTACTGTCTAGCTGTACAAGACCATTCACCCCTCGTGGACATTAGTTAAATGTGCGGCAACATCCTTCCAATTCGAAGTTATATTGTATCCTTCTTCATTTCAAGCAGCTCCTCTCTGTCATATCAATTCTCCTGCCGCGTAATAGCCCATGCTTCAAATTAAATCCGTAGACCCAATCATCGTCCGCCACTCTCCCACTTTGGCGGAACTCACTCCTTTTATCAATTACTCGACCTTCACTTCTTATACCTGGCCTTCTGGAAGTTTAATCATCGCCTGACACTTCCCACACGTCCTTCCTCCTCCTTTGCTGCTCAGTTGTTGCCCTAATAAAATCTATCTTCGTAGCACTTGAACCCACAAATCGCTTACTAACTGTAAACCTTTCCGGAGATCATCTTTCTCGAGCCGTCGACACTAGAAACACCGATTCAATCCTGAACGACCGCACCCCGCGATATCCAACAGTCGTTTCTCCAATATTATTTCACAATATCCTACCCCAAGGGCGAATTGCAGAAGACCATAACATCGGCGAACTTAACACATACAATCGAGGACGACGACCCTACATCACAGATAAAAATTCCACCACGCTCGAAATTACCAAGTCTCGTTACTCCATCACCCCAAATCTGGACATTCATAGGCCAATCGCTTTTCCTCTGCCGAAAGTGAAATATCGTATCTCAGAATCGTGTACTGAGTAGATTTCCTTTCAACTCATTCACCGCCCCAACACATAGGCAAGTCTCCTACCATCAAGTCAATACTGTGCGATAACCAATCGCGAGCATCATAGTAACCTGTTCATAGCCTCCAAGCTCTTAGAAGCACAACTATCAAGCCAAAACGATAGAAAATCCTTTCGCAAGGCGACGACAATAGCTCACACAACTATACCGGGAGAAACATCCCGCACCACATCTGTAGTACCATTACAATTCTTCAATTCTCGATTAATAACAAGCGGTTCGCGTCGCGTAAGATTGAGTAGGAAGGAAACAAGGGCATAAGCCTCAAGGAATCAAGTCGCACGATGAGGAAATCAAGAAAGGAAGTGCTCCTAACAGCCCTGTAGCCTCCCAAAGATAAGTACAGACGTCTCCGTACCGATCCGCGAGACTCTTCTGGACTTGCTCATTACTCGTGGGACCTAAGGGAACCTAGTGCTCTGATACCATGTTGTCACGACCCAAATTCTACTAAGGGTCGTGATGGCGCCGGACACCACTGTCAGGGAAGCCAACCAAAATACTTAATTAAATTCTCGTTTTAATACTCTTGAAAACTATGACTTTCCTTCAAATTTACCAGTAAAAGATAATTGTTTCAAATAAATTAAATGTTAAGCAGTTAATACAAAATACTTCATAATCATCCTAGAACCCGGTGTCACCAGTGAATGAGCAATTTCTAAGAAATCGAATAAAGTACAATAACTGTCCGGAACACAAATTGGACAGAAAGTAAATACAATGCTGAGAGAGAGACTATACTAGCTGCGGGTCGCCTCGAGAAATACAGCTCACCTAGTCTCCGTATCATCCATGCTGTTATGCCCAGTAGGCCACTAGTAATACATGTACCTGTGCAACAAAATGCACAGCAAGTGTAGCATGAGTACGAAAACAACGTGTACTCAGTAAGTATCACGCCTAATCTCGAAGAAGTAGAGACGAGATGCCAACATCGACACTTACTAATGGTCCAACAATAATATTATTCATGTGATGAATCACGGATTTATTAAGAACAACAGTAAATCTCAAGTCGGGGAGAGCAGATATCAATCTCAATAAATCTCAAGGCAGGCAATACAAGCATGCGCAACTCATGCCGAGGTCGTACGGCCCGATCCAACATAAATGTAAAATGTGCACTGCCGAGGGTCGAACGGCGCGAACCATAGATGAATCTATTATCCCGCTCGCGAATCATACATGCGACGCGGTCAAATTTTAGCTAAACAATCACCCTGCTCGCGAATCATACATGCGACGCAGGTACACATAGAAATACCTGCTCAAACAACAAATTAAGAATTTATCGGGGAATATTTATCCAAATAAAAGCCAATTCTCTTTTAATGATTTAAGAAAATGAAGTTTAATCCTCTTATGAATTCATTTATCAATTCGATAGTATTTAAGAAATTCAACTGTCAATAAGATCACAGATATTCCAAGTATAGCATGCTTTTGGGTCCTAGACTACCCGGACTTACACATATTAGTAGCTACGCACGGACTCTCGTCACCTCGTGCGTACGTAGCCCCCACAAATAGGAGCACATAACCAATTATTTCACCTATGGTGACAATTCCCTCTTACAAGGTTAGAAAGGAGACTCACCTCGCTCCGAAATTTCCATAACCGGCTTCCAAGCCCTTCCAACGACACCAATTGATGCACAACGCCCCAAAACTATTCAAAAAATGGGTAAAGCAATAAAAATTCACTCTAATACTTGTAGCAATTCAAATTATATAAGTTCCCAACTCCGCTCGAAAAGTTGAGCAAAATGCCCTCGGGCCCACGTGCCCTGATTCCGAAATTTCTCGTAGATAAATTTTACCCATAGCTTTACTAACTCAAATATACAATTTGCTCTAATTTCCATGCTCAAATTCATGGTAAAAGTCCAAAATTCCAAATTCTAGGTCTTCCCCAAAAATCCCAAATTTATGCTAATTTTTCATGTCTAAATCCATGTAAGATCACATATTTAACTCAAAAATAGGAAGAAATCACTTACCTAGTGTTGCTTGGTGAAAATCCCTCCTTGATCTCTCCAAATTCGTCCAAGCCAAATGAAAGAAATGAAAGAAATGGGCCAAAACTCGTGTTTAAAACAATCTGCCCAGGCTTCATCGAGTTGTACGTTGCGCTGTGCAGGTTGTACATCCTATTACAATTTTCCCCTGCTGTACACCTTTTGTTAAAACGCCCATAACTCCTTGTGGAAATATCCAAATGACAAACGGTTTGAAGATTTAGAAACTAGACTCGATGATCTTTCATTTGATAGGTTGCACACCATATAACTCTTTGTATATTCCGAGATATGAGCTTCTAAAGTCGGCTCCATGCATCAGAAAATTCTGTCGAAACTGCTCCACCAGCCATCTTCAATCGATCATAACTTTCTGATAAAATGTCCAAATCATGATGGTTTAACTTTCTAGAAACTAGAATTCAAGGACAAAGAATTTTATGTTTTGCAAATTTTTAGATTCCTTATAGATTTCGAGATATAAGCTTCCAAATTCAGCTCCGCGATTGCACTAGTTGCTGTCAAAACAGCTTTCTGCAGAATATTTCAGCAACTCTTTGGTCCGAAATTCATTCCGTTAACCTTTCGAAATCCACCCGAGGCCCTCGAGACCTTAACCAATTATACCAACATGTCCCAAAACATGATACGAACTTGCTCAAGGCCTCAAATCACATCAAACAACGTCGAAATCATGAATCATACTCCAATCCAAACTTTATGAACTTTGAAATTTCAAACTTCTACATTCGATGCCGAAACCCGTCAAATCACGTCCGATTGACCTCAAATTTTGCATACAAGTCATATTCGACATTACGGACCTGCTCCAACTTTCGGAATTGGAATCCGACCCCGATATCAAAAAGCCAAACTCTCGGTCAAACTTCTCAAAAACCTTCAAATTTCTATCTTTAGCCAAATGACTTCAAAATGACCTACGGACCTGCGAATTCTCTTCCGATCGCACTCCCAACTCCAGAATCACCATATGGAGCTACTCCCAAACTCGAAATCCCAAACGGACATCGATAACACTGAAATGCACTTCAACCCAAACTTATGAAATTTCTTCCAAAATGCTAACTTCCACAATAGGCGCCAAAACGCTCCCGGGTCATCCAAAACCCGATCCAGGCATACGCCCAAGTTCGAAATCATCATACGAACCTACTGGAACCTTCAGATCCTGATTCCGAGGTTGTTTACTCTGAAATCCAATCTTAGTCAATTCTTTCAACTTAAAGCTTCCGAAATGAGAATTCCCTTTCTAAATCAACTCCGAATTCCCCGGAATTCAATTCCGACCATGCGTACAAGTCATAATACCTGAAGTGAAGCTGCTCATAGCCCCAAACTGTTGAGAGATGCGCTAGAGCTCAAAACGACCAGTCGGGTCGTTACACCTGTTGTGTCTCTGCCTCCTTAGGTCGAATATATGTCTCAAATTTGTCCAACCCCGATCTCTCCTTATCGGTTTGTCTTTTTCTTTTTTCTCAAAAGTGACATTATTAGGTCTATTTATGTGTTTGGGACAAGCCTAAACGTGTAGGTTAACTTCTAGTCAAACCGGGAAACACTTAAAACCTTCAAAACTCGGACTGGGCCTGGCCTTTGGCCTGGCGTCGCCTGGATAAAGCCTGGTTAGGCCTGGCTTTAAGCTGGCCTCACCTGGATAAAGCCTGGTTAGTTGACTTTTGCCCGGCTTCTTCTTTTCACCATTCTCGAGCGTCCTTTCGACATTTAAGCATCCCTTTAGCTCTACTTTCATTTTCGATGCACCTACACTTAAAATAGCATCCATTACGCTCAAACAAAGTGTATTTTAACATTAAAGCATGTAAGTTCTTATGGAGGACTTAGACCTAGCAATTGCGAGGTCAGGCTTCGCATTTGCGACCACTGTTAGGTTCGCATTTGCGACAATCTTTCACATTTGCGAAGAGGGGTGGATCAGCACTGAGTTCGCAGTTGCGATCATTTGGTCACAATTGCGAGGAGGCCACTGTTCCCAATTGCAAACAAGTCATCGCAATTGCGATGATAGCAGGAATTGTGAGACTTCACATTTGCGAAGAAAAGCTCGCATTTGCGGGTGTGAGAAAGCACGAGAGAAAAATATTATTAATTATCTAAAGTGTTGTACAATGCCCTATTTATATACAGTGATTACATAAAAATAGGTATCTACTTCCCAATGTGGGACACAATACATGACTAACTACTTAAAGCTCCCCCTCAAGCCGGTGCATATAAATCTTATGTACCGAGCTTGTTACATATGTAACTAATACGAGAACCAGTAAGAGACTTAGTGAAAATATCTACTAGTTGATCATTCAACTTCACAAACTTTGTACCAATATCTCCTGAGAGTATCTTTTCTCTGACAAAGTGACAGTCGATCTCAATGTGTTTAGTCCTCTCATGGAACACCGGATTTGACGCAATATGAAGAGCAGCTTGATTATCACACACACTAGTTCCATCTTGCTGATTTCTCCGAACTTCAACTCCTTGAGCAACTTCTTGACCCAAACTAACTCACACGTTGCCATAGCCATGGCCCGATATTCGATTTCGGAGCTAGATCGAGCAACTACATTCTGTTTCTTGCTCTTCAAAGAGACCAAATTACCTCCTACTAGAACACAATATCCTGACGTAGAACGTCTGTCAGAAGGTGATCCTGCCCAATCAGCATCTGTGTACCCAACAGTTTGCTCGTGGCCTCGATCCTCGAGTAGTAATCCTTTGCCTAGAGATGACTTTATATATCGAAGAATGCGTAAAAATGCATCCCAATGACTATCACATGGAGAATCCATAGACTGACTTACAACACTCATCGGAAAAGAAATGTCAGGTCTTGTCACTGTGAGGTAATTTAATTTTCCAACCAACCTTCCATATCTCGATAGATCTCTAAGAGGATCCCCTTGTCCAGGCAGAAGCTTAGCATTCGGATCCATAGGAGTGTCAATAGGTCTGCAGCCCTGTGAGCACGTGATTTTTGCCTCGCTTAAATTACTCCTATAGAATTCTTAAAATTAGGATTTTTCTTTATTTGATTTTTAGAATCTAATTGCATGATTTTGTTTTTGTTTGCATTTTGTGTGCATTTTACTTGATATAATTCATAAAAAAATACAAAAATAGCATATTTGCATTTAGGCTCCCATTTTTATATTTTTAGGTTTACTAGTTAATTAACATTACAAGAAAATGGAAGAACATAACCAAAAATAACCGGCTCAAAATAGTTTACCGAAGGGTTGATATTGTTGATAGCGAGAAGAAAAAAGCCCTTCATTCATCTCAATTGCACAAAACCAAACACCGTAGAGATACTAAGACATAGTACCTTTTTATTGCATCCGCATTCACAGCTGTCGGGGATCATTCCTTTGATATTTCCCAAAATACAAGGCTCCTCTGCAATATCTTATTCGGATGATGTATGAACCCTTCCATTAGGAGCGGGATTTTCCTTTTTGCTTCTGGGTGATGGGGAGAATCGTCTTAACAGAGTTGTCCCCACTTTCAAAATTCCTGGGACGCACCTTCTTGTTGTCAAGCGCGGGCCATTCTTTGTTTGGTACAACTGCCCGTGGTGTGCCCTAAGTACAGCACACTCTTTTGTTGCAAAGTATGGGACTTTCCAACCCGCAACCATTTTTCCTCAAAATTGTTTCCAATTCTTTTTGTTTATTTCCTCAAGTTACCTTTCTGTGTATTTTCGGACTCTTGATTCATTTTATTTTTCGAAAATTCTTAACAGCATTTTGGGATCTAGGCATGAAAGTTCCGCAAGCATGTCTGTTATTTAAAGCTGCATTATTAGAGCTAAAAAGAAGAAATGAAGGAGAGAAAAAAATAGCCAAAATCAGAAAAGATAAAGAAAAATGAAACGATGGAAATATTGATTTTCATTTTTCTTGGGATTTTGAAGATAAACAGGTTCATTATCGGGAACTTAAAGACCAGAAAACTAAAAAGAAACATCGAAGTTACACCCTGGAATAACTCGGATGCAGGAAAAAAGTAGCAGGACGGGGTCTACCGGGGACTCCTGGCCTAATCGGGAATGGCATAGCCTATCCAGTTTTTTTGAAACTTGGCGCTTGGTCCCATGTAATAACACCTCAGTTGGTGCTTAGTGCCCTTCTCCCGACTGGGCCATTTGGTGTCTTCGTAGAAGCATTCTCCTCATTACCCCACCGTATTTTTCCTCCACTTTCTTTCAGCCGTGAACACCTCATCATCTTCCTTTTTTACTATACTTAGTCTTGACCAAAGTGTCATACAAATGTACCACCTCATAATCGGCCATTTTCATTTTTTGAAAACAACGCTTCGGCATTCCTCAGCATTCACAGGCTTCTTAAGCGGGAAACGCCTTTGGTGGCATTGTTTACTTCCTCTTGTTTGATATTCCTCCCCAGGGGGTTTTCTAGCAGCTCTCCCAAGATCTCTTAGGCCTGTGCGTTAACCACCATCTGATGATAATTTCATGGTTACAGCAGCAGGGTTTCGTCATAGGCTTCTGCGGTACGCGTCAATAACCACTGGCTCACCAAGCCGAGGTGGTTGATTTCCCCGTTACCACATGCTTGCTTTGGGGTTACGTACATTTGTGGTTTCTTTTTTTCAAATCAAACTTCCTTTTGTCTAGTTTCGTGTCTTGGGATTTGGCTCTTTCTTTCCCCCTTTCTCTTTTGCTTCGGGGCCACCTTTGGCTTTCTTTCTGCATAGCGATAGCAATTATAGCTTTTAAGTCTGGGAATCAAACTCCCTTATCTTCACAAATCATCCCGATCACTGGCCCGTTGTTTGGGGTGGGCAACGGATTATTGGTCACATTTTGGGACATCTTCATCCTTCAACAAACAATTTCCCTGCTCTATTAAGTTTTCCACGCTTGTTTCAGAGTCCAACAGTCATTTGTATGATGGCCCTCTGTCCCTGAATGGTAATGCACCACCTGACACCAGCTCTTGTAGGCAGGCGATGCCGGTTTTGTCTATTCTGAGGGACCGGCTGCAGTAGACCCATTTGGAACGAAGTTTCGGAACAGGCTAGAGTAAGATTCACCAATGGGGGTAAAGTTTGGTCTCCTGGGTGTTCCGAGGATGGGAATTATTCTGCAGAAGGTCGGGGGTTATAGTGGTTCTGGTAGGGAGGCTGATTTTCTTGGGGAAATGGAGGGTTGATTTCTGTTGCATTGTGGGCTGCGGTCGGGCAAAAGGTTGAGCGTTTCATGACCGCATATTTGGTTATGGGGCATAAGCCAATGTCAGGATGAGGGTATAGTGTTGAGAGTTCTCCAAAAACATGGGTCTAGGAGCCCGGTATCTTCTTGCCCCTGACGGCTTGCCATAAACCGTTTCTTCTTTCTTTACTACCTTTTGCCATTTCCTCCTGAACCGCCTTGGATGGCTTTGGGAGTTGCCCTAATGGCCACTGACTCAGATTCTCCTGTCTTCAGACCATTCTCCACATTTCACCCAATCTTAAATCGCCTCTGCAGAAAGGTTTGCCTATGGCGACATTCATGTTTCTGGAAAATTTAGCCGCTTCCTGGGCCCTGAAGGAAACAGTGATTCATCTCTACCTCATCCATCGGAGGTTCACTCTTGACGCTTGTTCGCCGCCACTTAATAGCATATTCGCGGGAAACTTTCTGAGGGACTTTTTCTTTTAGATTCGCCAAGGAGTTCCTGTCTGGAGCGTTGTCTATGTTGTATAAGGGGGTAACTGCCTTACAAAATCTCCGCAGATCGTTCCCAAATGTTGCCATCGTGAGACATCTTGGTCCATATACCATTCCGAGCAATGCCTTTACCAAACTTTTCTCCGAAGTATTGCCATCAAAACTTTCTTTTCCGCCAGCCCCACGCCAACTGATTCAATACTTTTTCAAGTGAGTGATGGGATCGCCATTGCCCGATCATACTTTTTCAAACTATTGGGCAGTTTTTAAATCCCATTGGGCAGGGTGCACGTGAGGGAACGTGCACAAGATCTGTATTAAGAAGAACACTTTTTTTGCCACACTCAAAACCTGCATATTCGGTCAAACTCTGTTCAAGGCTTTTCATTCTTTCGCCATCTTCATCTGTTTAGGGCTTTTGGGAGTTTTGATCTTTGTCCTTGGCGAACTCAATGGTGTGGCTGAGGAGTAATTATATGTGGGATATTTGAGGAGATTCCACTGGAAAGACAGGGTTTTTGGAAAAAGTGAAAAGTGAGGGATCAAAGGCAGGCCTTGGCAGTTGAAGGTTGTGTTGTAGCAGAGCATGGTGAGCAGTAACGATGTTTAGGAGCGCCTGCTGGGAACACCTGGGGGCTGACTCAGAAGGTTGTTCGATGAAGTGACGGCCATGGTAGGCTGTCCCAAAAGAAGTATGAGGTGGCTGATGGGGATATGGAGGTACCCCCAGACTAGGGAAATAGTTCAGGAAATCCAGGGGATGGCGCTTGGAAGGCTCCCTTCCATTGGTCCAGGTGTCCCACATCTCCATGAGTCGGAGACGTTAGTATCTGAATTTCTCTTCAGCTGTAGACAGACTCAGATGCTGGGAATCCCCGAGATGGGGCTGTCCTCAGAGATTGGGGGACTGCGGGCAAAGTCATTTCTGCAGAGTATTTCCACACTTTCCTTTCGATTTGGTTAAGTATTGATGCGATGCCAGCTTAACCACAACCAACCACCGTTGTCTAAAGCTAGGCTAGGAAAATTGACAGCAACACACGGTTAGTTTGAGACAAGGACAGATAGGTAACCGCACATTGGGAGCTGTGATGCACCTATACAGTTTTAAATTGAATATCTACATGTTTTGCTTCAGATTGCATGCATCATCCCAGCTTTTCTTTTTTCCCTTCGCTTTTTTTTTTTTTTTTTTGGTTTTATTTTCTCTATTTTCTTTTCCTTCTTCTCTCTTTATCTTATTTTCCGCTCTTTCTTTTCCTTGCTGGCCATGGTTTCTCTCTCAATGCCTTATTTTCTTTCTTTTGCGTTTCTCTTTCCTATCTTGTTTATTCTTTTATTTCTTTCCTTCGTACTGCCTTCTTTCTTTTTTTCTCTCTTTTTTTCTTTTGGGTTACGTGGGTCGAATCCTTTATGGAGATTGCCTACTATCATGACCCCGCCACCTGGAATCAGACCAAGCGTAGTTCTTGTAAATAGGTAAATAAACCAACTTCTTTTTTTTTTGAATTTTTGAAAGAAATGCTTTAGAAGGAAAAGGGGAAATATTTTTTGATTTTTGAATTTTTGATATTTGATTTTTCTTTTTAATTTATTGGAAAGAAAGGACTTCTACTGTTTTTCGTTTTATTAAACTTTGGAAAGAAAATATATTTGTTTGAATTTTCATTTTATTTCTAAACACGAAAGGAAAAATATTTTTTTTTTTGATTTGAAAAGTTGCCTCTTTAATTTTCACGGAAGAGGGACTTTTATTGAAAAATGTTTTGGATTTTTGAAGGCAAAAATATTTTCGGACTCAATTTTCAAACTTTGTATTTTTTTTTATTTATTATTTATGAAAGGAAAGGACATCTAAGGAGTATTTTAATGATTTATTTTGACTAATAAAGGAAAAAGTGGCTATTTTTCAAAACTTTTATCAAGAAAACAAAGACTCGGATTTTGCAGATACGGCTTTCAGCACTTCGGGAAAGAAGATTTTAAGGTTGTGCCGCTAACCATTGAAAATGACCCAAGGTGGCTGTTCTTGCAAAGGCGGCCTTTTCCGGTGCCTTTGGGACATTCGGCTGTATTTTAAACAAGAAATGGCATCACCTGGACTATTTGTGACAAAAATTAAAATTTTGGTATTTTGGCTATTTTTGCAAAAGGGTGGTTGGACCCGATGAGGTTTGCCTACGTATCTCCACATCCGGTGAGAGTCTAAAACCAGCGTAGTTCGGGCCGATTGGGAATGGAGTAAACTAACTCCTTCTT